AAAAAAAAACTATTACAACTTTTTACAGTGAAATAACTTTTAAAGTATTGAATAAATTCTATAAAAATGTATGTAGAGATTCACATAATTATATTTCACATTTATATTTCTTGTTTGTCAAAAAAGGATTTTTACAGATTAACTTTGAAAAATCCGAAGCTTTTTGTTAAAGTTTATGTTTCATTAAAATAAAAATTGTCGATTCTATAAAATTTAGAAGTATCTAATCAAAAATAAACAATTTTTTATATCTACATGCATTTATGTATGAAATAGATAAATTCAATTCCTTTTTCTCTGCAAATTACTCTACTCACTTTTCTCATCATACATCCCACTGTGCGCTTAGCCATTGCGTTTTCTTGCACCATTGACGCTTAATGACAGCCGCAGTCTCTCCGCTTGTCGCCTGCTCGCTTTTTGTCGCTTTGGCAGTTTGTCGGTTTGTCAGTCTGCCGCCAAGTTGCAATTGAATTGCTAACTGCCGTCCGTCCTCCACTGCATCTAATCAAGCGCGGATTTTGATAAGGAAATGCAACGCTGGCACTTTGACGCGTGGACTTGGACTCTTCGCAGCCGCGCGCTGGAGAGGATGCCACCTAGAGCAATCTCTGCTTCAATTTGTTGCAAATATTTTATGCGATTTCTATGGCATTTGAGGTTTGTCTTTTATTGTTTTTGCTCTTTTATGTTCTGGTCTTGCAACGGGAACTTTATGTGCTGAGAGTACTTTAACTAGTTATTCGTGACTTGGAGTACGTTGACTTATGCGTTATATGAGGCTGCTTAATATCCACAGCTTGACATTAGATCCATTAAGCCATAGCTCTAGTAAAAGGCAGCCAAGCACGTGCCATCTGGATTATGCTAGCAATGAAAATAAACAGAAAAAAATAAAGAAAAGATTTTGAAAATATATGTCTGCATAAACATAATTTATGGCAAAACAAACTCTTACACATAAATAATTTTGGCAAGATTTTTCAAATATTTTGCGAATCAATTTTAAATTTTGAAAACAAGATAAACAAATTTAAAAACAAATATATAATTGTATATATTTATTGTGTATAATATATACATACACATCATAAATATACAAGATTATATGTATAAATTTTATATTTAGATAGTTAATACATGTATGCATTTATATATAGAGAAAGTAAATATAACTCATGTGAATGAATATATAAGAAAACAGTTTTGTGGGTTTTTCGTCTACTTCAGTTCAATGGACAACAAAATAACTATTAAACACCCACTAACTTGACCAAATACAGCCGCAAGGTAAATGCGCTTGACCTAAAACAGAAAACAGAAAAGAAAACCACAACAAAAATTTGTTTGTACATAGAATCCATCAAATTAGCTTCAGGGTTCAGTGAATACAACTCAAATCACCTTAAATATACGGCCAGACGTGACAAGACAAAATTATTCAAAGAAATGCTGTTCTTAGATGGTCACAGAGCGATATCTATTGGAAATCGGGAATTGCGGTGGGGTATAGGGGCTATGCGTAAGGTGCTTAGCAGGGCAACGAGCCGTCGTTAGTTGTCCTTATTCCAATAGCTGACAGCTGTCTACAAATTAGAAAATAATTATAGTCCGACTATTATTTATATGCTTAGCGGTTCTACGAACTCGACGAGGGCAACAATATTCTTGGCTTTTGATGTCGTTTTATGTTGAACGTCTGCCCATTTGCTAGAGCCAATTAAATGAACTATGCTTAATTACCATATCACAAAGGGCAGCTCATATGCACAGCTTAGGCTAAAAAGAGTCTTTAAGCCTATTCATTTCTTTGCACATCTTTTCCATTTCATTTCCAGTTCTATGACTCTATGATTCCTCTACGACAATTTTTCAATGACAGGCCGCACTCCCATTTGACGGTCATTAACGTTGAGGCTTGTTACGATAGTTCGTGTAAATAATAAACCTTACTTAATTATAGGGCAATTGAGTTTATAACTCGGCTCAAATCTTAGTCAAGCCATTTGAGCCGCGTTGTAATTTGAGTTATCTATCAAAAGTAAAACTAACCCCAGCGGATGTGCAGCTTATTAAAAAACACACAGACAATTAGAATAATTAAGAAATTAAAAAGCTTTGATGAAAATCTTCAAAATGATGTCACAAAACGGCGACTATACTTAATGTAATATAATTGTTAAACATGTCTATACTCGACTCTTAATACTCAACATTAAGTATGTCCATAAAGTAGATCAAAAACGAGCAACAGAAATTTCATTTTCATTTTTAACAAGATGAGCTAATGGCAGAAAGTGCGCAAAGATAGCTCGTTTTACCTACTGTATATCCAAGCTGTTATACCAATGAATAGAACTTGAACTTGATGCTTTTTCCTTCTGATTCGAGATTAGTTTATTGCAATCTGAAACTAAATTGCTTCACTGTCTTGCAATAAAATACTTCAAATACGGAAAAGAACGAAATTTTCAGCTCAAAATTGAGTAATCTTAGCAGAAACTATGTACATGAGGATATAGACAAGGAACTTGGTACACTCTATGTTCATAGTGGAAGAAAATATGTTGACCGATCAAATTACTCCTAGTTTACTACCCCATATAAGTTAATGTCCTTAAAAAAAAGGGAGGAAGATCATACATTAATACTGCCAAGAACACCTACCTCTATGCATTTTAGATTATACCTTCAAAGTCTCGTAACCAAAAAGTTAGTCAATATCCAAACCACTTGTTTAGTCAGTGCACAAACCTTCAAATGCCTATCATTTGCAGCCCTGACAAACCTTAGAGTTTGAACCCCAATAGCAACCGGTAAAAAATAATTACCATGGCAGCAAACGCAAGCAAAACAAAATAAATTATTTTACAGAAGAAGCCAAATACTAAAAACAAAAAAAGAAAAAATGAAGCTCAAAACACGCATTTGTAAAAGAAATTCAGCTAAAGTATCGGAAAATCCACAAGAGCGGAATAAACCATTAAATAGCTATCCGCTGAGCTGTGTGGACTGGAGCAGTAATGAGGAGATCTACTTTGTCAGGTATCAGAGAAAATACATACAAAATATCTTGTAAATGGTTGGTAAGCATCTAAGCGTTATACACATCAAATCCCAACAGCGATGATCACCAGATCTACAAGTGGAACGATGTGAGTCGCGATACCGTAGAGGTGGCCAAGCTGCCGGATGACTTTATACCCACGGATATGCACTGGCTGCTGTTGGGTGGCCGCAGCAGTGGCGGTGGCAAGGGCAGCGATACGCTGCTCATTTGCAGCACCGACGGACGCTTCGTCATATTGAACAAGAGTGCGCGGGTCGAGCGCAGCATTTCCGCCCACACGGCGGCAATTAGCTCGGGTCGCTGGAGTCCCGATGGCGCTGGCCTATTGACCGCCGCAGAGGATGGCGTCATCAAGATCTGGTCGCGATCCGGCATGCTGCGCTCCACGGTCATACAGAGCGACGAGCCCATCCGCTGTGCCCGCTGGGCGCCCACCTCAACGGCCATTGTGTTCAGCCAGGGTGGCCACATCTCCATCAAGCCGCTGGCAGCCAATAGCAAACTGATAAGGGTGAGTTTTCGAGGGTAATTATATTACATATGAGCCATCTGAGATTAGAGTGACTAGAATGAGAGTAGAGTGATATAAAGCTTTTCAGTTGTATTTATACTTCTTAGAGCTAGAGTGTGATCGAAAATATTGATAGGCTTTCTCCACTGAATATAGTGGAATCCCGATTATTCAAAATGACCGAGAATTCTTGTCTGAGAATTTGTATATAACGAGGCTCAACACAACAATTCTAAATCAACATGGATTACATATTTGTCGATAATAGGTTAAGAATAAGATCGTTTATTTATCAGATTCTTCCATACAGCTCAAAAGTAACCTAGATTGTTTTAATATATATATATTAAAACAATCTAGGTTACTTTTGAGCTGTATGGAAGAATCTGATAAATAAACGATCTTATTCTTAACCTATTATCGACAAATATGTAATCCATGTTGATTTAGAATTGTTGTGTTGAGCCTCGTTATATACAAATTCTCAGACAAGAATTCTCGGTCATTTTGAATAATCGGGATTCCACTATATTCAGTGGAGAAAGCCTATCAATATTTTCGATCACACTCTAGCTCTAAGAAGTATAAATACAACTGAAAAGCTTTATATCACTCTACTCTCATTCTAGTCACTCTAATCTCAGATGGCTCATATGTAATATAATTACCCTCGAAAACTCACCCTTATCAGTTTGCTATTGGCTGCCAGCGGCTTGATGGAGATGTGGCCACCCTGGCTGAACACAATGGCCGTTGAGGTGGGCGCCCAGCGGGCACAGCGGATGGGCTCGTCGCTCTGTATGACCGTGGAGCGCAGCATGCCGGATCGCGACCAGATCTTGATGACGCCATCCTCTGCGGCGGTCAATAGGCCAGCGCCATCGGGACTCCAGCGACCCGAGCTAATTGCCGCCGTGTGGGCGGAAATGCTGCGCTCGACCCGCGCACTCTTGTTCAATATGACGAAGCGTCCGTCGGTGCTGCAAATGAGCAGCGTATCGCTGCCCTTGCCACCGCCACTGCTGCGGCCACCCAACAGCAGCCAGTGCATATCCGTGGGTATAAAGTCATCCGGCAGCTTGGCCACCTCTACGGTATCGCGACTCACATCGTTCCACTTGTAGATCTGGTGATCATCGCTGTTGGGATTTGATGTGTATAACGCTTAGATGCTTACCAACCATTTACAAGATATTTTGTATGTATTTTCTCTGATACCTGACAAAGTAGATCTCCTCATTACTGCTCCAGTCCACACAGCTCAGCGGATAGCTATTTAATGGTTTATTCCGCTCTTGTGGATTTTCCGATACTTTAGCTGAATTTCTTTTACAAATGCGTGTTTTGAGCTTCATTTTTTCTTTTTTTGTTTTTAGTATTTGGCTTCTTCTGTAAAATAATTTATTTTGTTTTGCTTGCGTTTGCTGCCATGGTAATTATTTTTTACCGGTTGCTATTGGGGTTCAAACTCTAAGGTTTGTCAGGGCTGCAAATGATAGGCATTTGAAGGTTTGTGCACTGACTAAACAAGTGGTTTGGATATTGACTAACTTTTTGGTTACGAGACTTTGAAGGTATAATCTAAAATGCATAGAGGTAGGTGTTCTTGGCAGTATTAATGTATGATCTTCCTCCCTTTTTTTTAAGGACATTAACTTATATGGGGTAGTAAACTAGGAGTAATTTGATCGGTCAACATATTTTCTTCCACTATGAACATAGAGTGTACCAAGTTCCTTGTCTATATCCTCATGTACATAGTTTCTGCTAAGATTACTCAATTTTGAGCTGAAAATTTCGTTCTTTTCCGTATTTGAAGTATTTTATTGCAAGACAGTGAAGCAATTTAGTTTCAGATTGCAATAAACTAATCTCGAATCAGAAGGAAAAAGCATCAAGTTCAAGTTCTATTCATTGGTATAACAGCTTGGATATACAGTAGGTAAAACGAGCTATCTTTGCGCACTTTCTGCCATTAGCTCATCTTGTTAAAAATGAAAATGAAATTTCTGTTGCTCGTTTTTGATCTACTTTATGGACATACTTAATGTTGAGTATTAAGAGTCGAGTATAGACATGTTTAACAATTATATTACATTAAGTATAGTCGCCGTTTTGTGACATCATTTTGAAGATTTTCATCAAAGCTTTTTAATTTCTTAATTATTCTAATTGTCTGTGTGTTTTTTAATAAGCTGCACATCCGCTGGGGTTAGTTTTACTTTTGATAGATAACTCAAATTACAACGCGGCTCAAATGGCTTGACTAAGATTTGAGCCGAGTTATAAACTCAATTGCCCTATAATTAAGTAAGGTTTATTATTTACACGAACTATCGTAACAAGCCTCAACGTTAATGACCGTCAAATGGGAGTGCGGCCTGTCATTGAAAAATTGTCGTAGAGGAATCATAGAGTCATAGAACTGGAAATGAAATGGAAAAGATGTGCAAAGAAATGAATAGGCTTAAAGACTCTTTTTAGCCTAAGCTGTGCATATGAGCTGCCCTTTGTGATATGGTAATTAAGCATAGTTCATTTAATTGGCTCTAGCAAATGGGCAGACGTTCAACATAAAACGACATCAAAAGCCAAGAATATTGTTGCCCTCGTCGAGTTCGTAGAACCGCTAAGCATATAAATAATAGTCGGACTATAATTATTTTCTAATTTGTAGACAGCTGTCAGCTATTGGAATAAGGACAACTAACGACGGCTCGTTGCCCTGCTAAGCACCTTACGCATAGCCCCTATACCCCACCGCAATTCCCGATTTCCAATAGATATCGCTCTGTGACCATCTAAGAACAGCATTTCTTTGAATAATTTTGTCTTGTCACGTCTGGCCGTATATTTAAGGTGATTTGAGTTGTATTCACTGAACCCTGAAGCTAATTTGATGGATTCTATGTACAAACAAATTTTTGTTGTGGTTTTCTTTTCTGTTTTCTGTTTTAGGTCAAGCGCATTTACCTTGCGGCTGTATTTGGTCAAGTTAGTGGGTGTTTAATAGTTATTTTGTTGTCCATTGAACTGAAGTAGACGAAAAACCCACAAAACTGTTTTCTTATATATTCATTCACATGAGTTATATTTACTTTCTCTATATATAAATGCATACATGTATTAACTATCTAAATATAAAATTTATACATATAATCTTGTATATTTATGATGTGTATGTATATATTATACACAATAAATATATACAATTATATATTTGTTTTTAAATTTGTTTATCTTGTTTTCAAAATTTAAAATTGATTCGCAAAATATTTGAAAAATCTTGCCAAAATTATTTATGTGTAAGAGTTTGTTTTGCCATAAATTATGTTTATGCAGACATATATTTTCAAAATCTTTTCTTTATTTTTTTCTGTTTATTTTCATTGCTAGCATAATCCAGATGGCACGTGCTTGGCTGCCTTTTACTAGAGCTATGGCTTAATGGATCTAATGTCAAGCTGTGGATATTAAGCAGCCTCATATAACGCATAAGTCAACGTACTCCAAGTCACGAATAACTAGTTAAAGTACTCTCAGCACATAAAGTTCCCGTTGCAAGACCAGAACATAAAAGAGCAAAAACAATAAAAGACAAACCTCAAATGCCATAGAAATCGCATAAAATATTTGCAACAAATTGAAGCAGAGATTGCTCTAGGTGGCATCCTCTCCAGCGCGCGGCTGCGAAGAGTCCAAGTCCACGCGTCAAAGTGCCAGCGTTGCATTTCCTTATCAAAATCCGCGCTTGATTAGATGCAGTGGAGGACGGACGGCAGTTAGCAATTCAATTGCAACTTGGCGGCAGACTGACAAACCGACAAACTGCCAAAGCGACAAAAAGCGAGCAGGCGACAAGCGGAGAGACTGCGGCTGTCATTAAGCGTCAATGGTGCAAGAAAACGCAATGGCTAAGCGCACAGTGGGATGTATGATGAGAAAAGTGAGTAGAGTAATTTGCAGAGAAAAAGGAATTGAATTTATCTATTTCATACATAAATGCATGTAGATATAAAAAATTGTTTATTTTTGATTAGATACTTCTAAATTTTATAGAATCGACAATTTTTATTTTAATGAAACATAAACTTTAACAAAAAGCTTCGGATTTTTCAAAGTTAATCTGTAAAAATCCTTTTTTGACAAACAAGAAATATAAATGTGAAATATAATTATGTGAATCTCTACATACATTTTTATAGAATTTATTCAATACTTTAAAAGTTATTTCACTGTAAAAAGTTGTAATAGTTTTTTTTTTGCCCACTGTGCGGCATTTGAAACTGCAAGTGTTGACTTTTGTGGTGGCAGCCATTAGAAGTGCGAGCCATAGACGAGTGCTTAACCAGCTCCCAACCCGAGCCCATATAAATAACGAACTCCAATATAAAATCTAGCGACACTTCAACTGCTCTCACTGCGTAGCTGCCTCTGTCTGCCCTCTTGCTCACACTCACATTCGCTCGCACTCGCACACACACACAGCGCTTAACTGCGCTTTCAATGTTGCCGTTCAATCTACGTGCAGTCCGATTGAAACGAAGCTCATTGAACGTGACGCTCTGTCTCTTTCCCACTCATCTTCGAGCGTGCATCGAGCTCGTTCGTTTTGTTATTGGTTCGGTTTGCCCGTTGCCCGTTGGCTTCTGTTGCCTGCGACTTGTGGCGCTTTTTCGTATTCAGTTTCGATTCAGTTCGCTTTCAGTTTGTCAACGCGTCGCATGCGTTCGTCGTGCTCTGGCTAGATATATTCGGAATTGTTTGAAATCTAACGAAATAATTTGCATACGAAAGCAGTGAATATCTTCTGTGTGTGTGTGTGTGACAAACATATTTATATAAAAAGCTAGAGGAAAATATTTTGCAACAGCTCAAATAAGAAACCCTCAACAAGTTGTTAACCCCTTTATGGTCATGTCGCCCTATGCATCCTGCGTTCTCCTGCTGGGGTTGCTCTCCCTCGCTCTAAGCCTGAGTACAGGTGGGTATTCACACTCTCTGCGTGCATTTGCATGGCTGTGCCAGTTAATTAAGTGTACTCGGCGCGCGTCAAGTGGTTTGAGTTTAGTTGGGTTCGCTGAACCAATAAGAAATATGAAAAGCAGTCACTTAGCATCGCGAGGCATCATTTAAATTAAAGAAAAAACTATTACAACTGCTTCTATTATTATTTTCCCTTGATTAATTGCCCATTCGTGGCGCATGCTTTAAATGTGACCCTCATTAATGAGCTCTATTATCTAGCGATAATCAATCAATTTCCACTTTGACCTCAATTGATAAGCTGTCGGGCATTATCAATGCTATTGTTAAGATGCACTCATCTCATAGAACTCTCAGCCTCCATAATGAGTGTCGTCACTGGGGCGTATACTTAACATTGCCTCAAGTGCCTGCAGCAGATTATTTCATGATTTATTTATATACGATATTTATGCACTTGTCGGTTATTCTATTTATTTATACATTCAACACTGACAGCCTGCTGCCAGCTGACTGCGGCCTGTGTGGAAAACTGTTTTCACAACCTTAACCAAAAAATTAAAGAAATTCTCTTCACGACATAAATAGAGCGCATTAAATGAGGCTAACTTGTAGACATATAAATAAATACATATATATAAATATATGCGCATATATGTATTCCGTGAGCTGTGCCATTTTCTAGACTCTAAAGAATAAAGAGTGCCCATTTTCCGCAATGCAATAGAAAACTTGCAGCTCAATTGATTAAAGTACACAACAAATGGCTGAATTTAATTGAATTGAAACTGTAACAGAACTATCTAAATGAATTGTCGCCCACAAATTGAGAAACAACAAATGATATAAGGGCGAGCCAATTCTATTTTTGTACAATTTGTATTGCCCTAATAAAAAGGGCTAAGAAGTTGAATGAGATGAAATGTATTATTCTGAAGTGAATAAAAAAAATTAAATATGCTAATACCTAAAAATTTAAGTGTGGTGTTAAATTACAATCTATTTGATTTTAGTTTAATTATAGATGATTCATATATTATATCATATAAATTTTCATATAATTATAGTAAAATATTTGTGTTGTAGTTGCTTTTTCAATTTAATTTGTAATCTTATTTAAAAATTTAAATAATGTTTATAGTTAATTATTTTTACAATTAGTAGTATCTCTTGCAGGTAAAAAATTGCCGCTTTAAGGTTTTTGTGAATTGAGTTTGAGCTCTCCGAATATATATTTTTTTAATAAATGATAAATGTCTCTATGTTATGTACAGAAAATATTCATAATTTTATCAGTTGAACTCAAACCGAAATTGTGTTCCTGAATTAAAAATCAATTGATATAAATTGACTAGCCAAAGACATAAATGCTTTCAAACTAATTCTCCATCAATAACTTTCCCTTTTCAGTCAAAAGAATGGAGTACAATAAATTGCTTTTTTTTTACTGAACTGATTTTTTGCTTCGTTTCTCTTTAGTCAATTGGGCGTTCTTTTTTTTTTTTTTTTTTTTTTTTTTTTTTCTATCATAAAGATTCATATAAAATCAGTATTCCACTTTTAACCTGTTTTATGTTCACATATATATTTTTTTTAAATTACTGCGCAGTTTTCTAGGGCTATGATAGCGATCAGTAAACATTTTTTGTCGTATAACAATAGTATATAAAAACTCTATTTCTATGGCCTCTTTTAGGCTTAGTTTAGGTCTTAGGCCTGCCCACATTTTCTTTTGTAGCTTGTAACTTCACGATGTCGTCATATCTCCAATTAGAAGTAAATGCGTGTGGCATTTTGTTGTTGTTAGTTAAATGGGCGTGGGCTTCTGGTTCTGGACGCATTGTCAGTCAATTTTGTTTTTATTCTGTCCACTCGCAACTTCGCTCGGCGCACGCACCTCAATAAAACTGTGGACCCTGACAGTTTTAGTCTGGCACACATTCCATTTGCGGCCTTGTTTTCTTTTTCTTTTCAAGTTGTTTTTACACATTGTTTACATTTCGTTCCGAAATTTCGCAGGCCAGAAAGCTATATAACGAAAATAGTTTCAGTTCGAATTGCCATAAAAACCTCACTTAAAGTCGTTTGATTCTGTCATCCACTTTTGCATTCTGATGATCTCAAATGCCAGCCAAGTTTGAGTTTGAAATCTGTATATAATTATCATATGCATATATATACATAAATATTAATTAGATGATGAATGCGCATGTGCTTAAGCAGTAGTTCCATAATTAAAGCAATTCAGTGAGTGAGCGAAACAATTTGTCATTTGACTTGCATGTCAGGGCATTGGGGCTCATTGCAATTTGCTTGAGATACAATCTGAGCAATCATTATAATGCGAGCCAACCCTGAAATCCTTAAAACCAAAACACACCCAAAAGACCCGGAGCATGTAAAAATGTCATCATTTTAATGTGCGACGTGTAAGCCATTAAATAATTTTCTAGCATTGCAATGGAATTTTTTTACGTATACCCTGTAATTTAAATGACTGTCAAAGAGCATGATAAATAAGAGCAGACAGATGCTTAAAATATTTTTTTAAATAGTTCAAAATTAATTGAATTATATTTTTTTCTGCATATATATTAATAAATATTTGTAGGAAAAATTCAAATATAAATACTTAAAAAAAATAA